TGTGGCAAAAGGAGCTTGATGGCTATGTGAGGACACACAAGATATATGAGGTGACAGTTCAGGTTGCCTTACTCTTTAGACTTATCCATTGGAGAAATCCTAAGTATTTTGTGCCTGGTTACCCAAGAGTAGATTTTACTGCATATGGTGCGAGACTCAGGATGCAGTTGCAGCAAGAGGGTTACCACTGCCTAAATCCAGGAACCACAGGACGAGCTTTAATGTGCTTGTTTTCCCAAAAATGGTTATGTTTCTAGCAGGAGCCAATAGTTTAAATAATCTTAAAATGTTGTAAAGGAAAAAATTGGGTATGAAAAAACCCTATCTAAAAAATCGTCGTGGTTTATCAGGGGAATTAAAGACCTTACTGACCAATTAGCTTGAAAAATTAAGAAATCAGGACAAATTAGTTGAAGATTAGCATCTTAATGAACTATTGTTGTCTCAGCCCAGTTTGGACATATCACTCCTTTGTTGACATTTTTAATGCTTTCTGTGGATTACCAGTACATGACCAGTATATGAAAGCTTGTTAAGCCTCCACGTGCTCAACCTGGCCCTAGCTTTAATACTGGCTTAGTGCAATCCCTGCTGTTGGCACAAGCTCTGTGGGACTGGAACCTTGTGGTGCTGGGCATTGTGTTTCTACCTAATCATCATATGGACCTACTCAAGTGTGTTTTACAAGCTTAGGGCAAATTTGTGAATGCCCAATTATCTATATGTAACTTTTATAAGAGAAGCCAGCCAGGGTTTGGGGGGTTTTTTTACTTTTTTTTTCTTTTTCTTCTTCTTTTCAGAATTCTGCAGTATCTTTCTGTAATTAGTGGGGAGATGCTTTCAGCCTGGCTTCCAGGTCTGCCTGGTATTTCCTTTCCTGATTAGCAGAGAAGCCTGTGCACTTGTCTTTTCAAACTACACTGCTCTTGCATCTCTCTCTCCTGGTTCCCTGTAGAAAATTTAAAGTCCAAAATGTTTTTGAATGCCTCAATCTTAGTCCCATTCAGGAAAAAGATGTTACAGCAGCTTCTAGGCAGATGCAAATTCACATTTACTTTTGAAAATTCTTCACTTATTTACAGACCTTTCAGCCATGCAGTGCTACTTCAGTTTTAAACTAGTTTTGCTGTCTGCTACAAGTGTGAGGTGAAGTTACTGATGGTGTATCTGTCTCTCCATTCCTTTCTTTCAGAGAAAAACAACAGATGATGTATAAGAAACTCACTTTATAATTTGGTTTTTTGGTGTGTTTTCCTTTTCATTTGTTTGCAGTTGCAATTCTTTGGCCCTAAACTGAAACAAAGTGATTTTCCTTCCACAAAAAAAAATGCTGCTGTCATTGCATCAGGCAGAAGTGGTTTAGAGTAGATGCCTGCAGTATGCATGTGCAGTTTTATCCCATCTTATTTTTAAACGGTCATCTGTGCATCCCTCTGGTTCACAATCCTTTTCCAAAAATACCTGGGGTTTATCCTTATCATATTGCCCAGTTAACTGTAAGAAATAGGCTCAAGTGGCTCAGTACAGATTAGATTTGCCTGTTATGCAACAAGGTACAAGATCCAGGGAGAAGCCAGGGATCTGCCTTGGGAAGAGCTTTGTCCTTCGTGGGCCAGGGAATCCCTTGGCAATACCCCTTGCACATGTTGAGAGTATCAGGTTGCTTCCCAGCAACTTCACTGGAAGAATACTGCACTGAAAGGGCATTCATTTGTTCACAGAGGCCAGGATAAACATGGTCCAGAGGTTTCTGATTCTTACCTTAAATAACTCTAAGTTTTAATTACAGTTTTTGTAGCCACATTTTTTTTAAAATTTGATTCCTTTCAAGTTTACCAGCTCTGGCATACTTGGTAAATAGGACAAGCATCTACATTTATTTCTTCAAAATAGGTGCTAACAGATTCAGGCTTTGGAAAAAACACCCTTGCCAACTCCCCAGAGGGAAATTTCACCACCAGTTTATGTGATTTTTCTGCCATTTTTACAAGGTTTGCTGAGACTTCTGCTGTTTTCAATTTTTTTTTTTCCTTTCAGCCTTAGCAAACATTTCTTCTCTGCCTTTCCCTCCTTTCTACCCACATTCCCAAGAATCGAATACTTTCCCTGTCCCAGACCTGCAGATAAGGTTAGATGTGTGTTTTTGTCAGACAGCATGTGTCTGTTCTCATGTCCTGAGCTCTCCTCCTCTTCCTCCACCTCCTCTTCCTTCTCAGTTGTCCCCATTCACCTTTGGTAACCTTGTTCTGGCACCAGGAAATGTTTTGATCCTTTTGCTATCAACACCAAGAGTGGGTATTTGGTGAACTTCATTTTCACAGCATACACAGGGAGGGATTTGGATTCAACATGTTCACTTGGGAGTCTTAGGTCAAAGATGCAACCCAGGGCAAAAACTTCTTAAGGTCTTCTCATGGCTGCAGTGGCACCGTGTGAGTTAAGTTCATAGCTTATTCTTCACCCGGTTTCTAGGCATTTTATGTACTTTGGGGATCAAAAAAAAAAAGATTCATAGAGTCAAAAACTGTTTGGTTTTCTCCTCCCACCACAGACTGGACTCTTGTTAGTGAGTAGGGAGCTGGAGGGAGATACCATGTGAGATTGTCTGATGTGCCTCTGCAATTCCTAGGTTGCACGTTGTGGAGAGTTTCTTCTCCAAATCAAAAATTGCTGCCTATACTTTATCAGGTAGCATGCTATAGAGCTTTTGCAGTACACTTTCTGCAGATATAATTACACCAATTTCATAACTAAACCCGACATTGGACATTTGCCCAAAATATCTCCCACATGGGTAGAAAAAAGTAGCCCACAATATGTGCAGTTCTCTTCAAGCCACATTAAGATTTCATGCAAAACCCTGAGCATTCATAGTGCTCAACTACTCTGCAAGACCTGGACAAAATGAAGATGCAAACTCCTTTTCATGGACAGGGGAGAACTCATTCACAAATGAGGAACTCAGATGAGTTATATTATATCTGTCCTCCTGAGCCCTATTTTTCTGTCTGAAAGTGATGTGAGTGCCTTTCATCAGCTCTCTGCACAGTGATTTGTCCCCAGAGCATCCTGTGCCTTGTAAAGATGTGTCCAAAGCCTATCCGCCTTGTAACGGAGTGAATGCCAGCTGGTGACCAGCTCTAGAGTCTCACTTCAGTTTCCACATCCCACCAACCCTCAAAGAATGAAGAATCCAATACTTGTTCTAATGTAAAACTCCACCTATAATTTGAAAATATCTGTAGGTCATACCTAAAATTAGGAAAACAATGACTTAGGTCCAAAAGTGCCCCTCTTCTCATAGGACTCTGAATATCTGAAGCTTAAATTAAGGGTGGGTTAGATTTGTTATAGCTTTTTTTTTTTTTTTAATCGACTATTCAGTGTTGGTCTTCATTATTTTTTTTTTATCCTTTTGAAAGCTTTTAGAGCCTCCTGCATAACCGCCTCTGCCCCATTCAGTGCTGAATGGACAGTGCGCTGATCTTTTTCTCGGTGGGTAATGGATTTGGGTTGATTGCTTGACACAGGGACAATAGGGGGGTAAACAATTGCCTTCGCACCCGTGCAGCTCCCCATCTGTTGAGTGCGTGCGCCTTCAGAGGCAGCCGGGCAGGGACAGATGAATGCGCCAGCCGAGCCTGATGTTAATGACATCAGTCATACAAGCAGAACATGTGGCGCAATAAATCAAAAACTAATTGAACTTTTGGTTGATTATATTGCCGTCCCACTGCCTGCTCCAAGCACGGCGCTGTTCCCTGGGACAATGCCCCCCGCCCGCAAAGGCTTTGCTGCCCCTGGACAGCAGGAGCCTGCCCTGGGAGGTGACAAGTGACAACAGCTTCTCTTTGCTCACTGCTTTCCTGAAACAGCGACACCTTCCACTTGACCAAAATGCTTCCAGGCTCAGGACGTCTATTTGACCAATATTTATTATTTCAAATAAGAAACGTTCATCAATATGACAGTGACAGCCCATGTTCAGTGGCACTTTCCATCTGGGGACTGTTGGTGGCAGACATCTATAGGAGAGGACAGCACTTGTTTTTGTGTTAATTAGACACACACGTGGTAGTAATGAAGGCTATTCATTAGATTGATATAATTTAATATCATTATTCACACTTGAAAGTGCTCCAACTGCATCAGTTGTTGGAGCCTGCAAGCCAGAATTTTCTGTCTTGGGTGTCCATGGCAGCATTAAGTCATCAAAAGTTGAGGGGGCTGATATTTGTAGAGATGCAAAGGAACAATTTCTGATGGGAGTATTAAGAAATGAAAAGCTTTGGCAAGAAGACCCTTTATTGAAGTCCCTAAATGTGGAATTAGGCCCCAGAGCCATCAAGTCAGGAACCCATCTATGACTGAGCCACCTTTCCTCCCCTTGCAACCACAGACAGGTAGGGGGCATGGAGAATCTATGCACATCTGCCCTTCTTAGACATTTGCATTTGTAATTTTATGCTTTTTGAATTTTACTTTGAAAAACCCAGGATTCCAGTGTTTGTTTATGAAATAAAAAGGTAAAGCACAAAATGCTTTTCTTAACACACCCAGAATCATCTCCTCATTATATGTAAGGAGCAAATCTTTATGGTAAATGTGTTAAAGTACACACTTAACCAAATTTATTAAAAATATCTTTGCAGTACTTCTGTAAACATTTGCCAATAGATTAGGCTTTAATTATTAGCTATTAATTGCAGAGGACTTTCCACACTGGTAAAAGGAAATGTAAAATAAAATGCTCCTATCTTAGTAGAGGCTTAAGTAAGAGCTAAATTAAATCTTTGTGTTAATATTATTCATAGAAAGGCAGATGGGAGCAGAAAATGTTGCAATGAAGAATATGGAATGAGATGAGATCACAGCATCAGTCTGTCCTTTGTAGATCTGGACAATGATCACAGAGCCAGATTGGATTAGTGAAACCTATTTACCAGAAGTTCAGAGCGGTTGCATGAAGCTGAAAGGCAGTCAGTAGGGAGAGGCGGAAAATGCACCAGATTTACAGCTGCAGCGATGAAAATTTAGAAGTTTTCACCACTGTGATTTCTTCCAAATGTGAGTACATCAAAATCTAACAACAGCTACGGTGTTGTCTGTTTGAGGGATGGGATGTTTAGCAGCGGGGAAATACTTGAGGAGAGCAGCTCATCTGTTCTGCTGTGCCATGCTCTGCCTGCAGCCCAGCCCTCGCTGCTGCTTTCTCGACCTAATCCGTGCAGGTGCTTCAATATTGTGGCTCTGTAAAATCTTTGCTTTGGCAAAATTGGGAGATCTGGAAGCGGTGTTGCTGTACCTATGAGGTAACTGCTAAAGTGACAGCTTGCAACTGTGTGGCTTTTCTGTGTAATAGAAAAGAGAATGAAGTTCTGCGAGCAGTTAGAAGTGGGTGAAGTGCATGAATGTTGAATTTAAGTCTGCTGGCTCAATAAGTGGAACATTTCCAAAGCCATGCCCTGGAAATGAATGCATGATTAACATTAATTGCTTCTAATGAAGAGTAAGAACCGGACAAAGCCCAGCCTGCATTTGATTGAACAAATTAGTTTAAACTCAATGGCTGCATATTTCAGCAACAAGAAAGCAGGGAAAAGCAGGGAAAACAAATTGTGGGGCCAGATCAGATCTTTACGTGCAAGCTGCGAGCATGAGCTCTCAGCTGCTTAATTTTGGAATATAAGTGGAAATGACAAAGTGAACCATCACTGTAATTGTATTTGTTGACCAAAATCTGGGCTGTGCATACAAACATCCTTTTGCAGGCAAATCCACATACATCATCTGCAAGGATTTGTTCTTCTCTTCCTTCTCTAGCGCTCTGCAGAAGTTTGTGTTTGCAGGGACAGCCTGGCAGCCCCAGTGTTTGCATTGCTGCCATTGTATTCCCACGCAAGTGGGTCACTTCTGGCTACCTCTGTGATTCACCCTTCTTTCAATGCCTATTCAAGTAATTGCATGTTTGCTGGTGCTGTGACTTCCCTTTCATGCCTTGCCTTTCTTCAGCCCCTGTAAGCCTTTTGCCACTCATTCTGGCAGACAACAGGGGATGAGGGATCATAGTTATTACTGTTAGGCACGTTTATGTGTTGTTCCTTTTGCACTAGCCTGGGTAGCAGCTATGACAGCACAAGGGCACTTGCTTCTGGTAGAAATCTCTAAAAAACTGTACTACTTACACTGTGTGGTAAAATACCTAAAACACCAGAGAGAAGAAGGTAATTCCTTGCATCACTAAACTTTTCTGCAGTTGAGGGTTTTGCTTATGAGCAATTAGTTTAGTCCTCCCACAGTGAAATTCCAGAAGTAAAGGTGATGGAAGCAGATTCAAAAACAACTTACAGTTTATTCCTAGGTTTAAAAAAAAAACAAACCACCTTCATTATGTTTGTCTGGTTTTCATCCCCCACTCACCATGGTTTAAAATATAAAATGTGTCCTGCAGGAGAAGACAGTAAGGATCCCTGAGGATATCACACTGTGCAGAACAAACTGTAATCACACTGACAGCTTAGCACACTCTAGGCAGGCAGATAACTTACTTGTGACAAGCTCAGTGTGGAAGTGCCCTGTGCTGCAACAGGATGCTCACAAGGACCTTCCTATTTTCCTGTCCTGTTGCACAGGCCAGAATTTCCTCTCCAGTGGGCTCCTAATGCTCAGGACTTATATCCTCACTGGGGTGTGGAGGGATGGCTGTTAGACACACACAAGCTGTCTAGGAAGAGTGACTTTGGTCTCGCTGCCAGCTCTGCTTGCACCAGAGCCCTGGAAAGCCCAGTCACTTGTTATTCCTGCCATCTGAGGAGTTTGGCTGCAGTAACGAGCAGCCTTGGATGACCTCCAGCTGCTTCCACAGCTCCAAAACTCTGCAAGCAGTAATATACAGCAGCTATAAGCACTGCAAGCTAAATGTGTGCTAACAAGGTAAAGGAAAGATTACCTGGGAAGTAGAAGTCACCCATCATCCTGTAACAAACCTTCCTGGCTCTTCAAAGCCTTTGGATTATACATGGAGCCTGAATAGGAAGCCCTCATTCAAGTGCCTTGCCCCCAGGGTCAGCCTTTAGAATTGGAGTTAATTCTCCACATTTGGCAGCTTTCTGCAAGCCTGTTTCTGTCACTGGTGTATAAATCCTGTAGTTCTGGTAGCCTGCAGGGTAAGTAAGATATGAAGAGAGGGAGAGCTGGGAGTATCACAGAGTCTTGCAGGCCAGTTTTAAGTCTAAGTCAAACAACAACAGTTTAAAAATCCTTCACTCAGTCCAGTAAAACCATCACCCAAAACCAATTGCTTCAGTCCAGACAAAAGCTTGGCTTTTGGCCCTGGCATCCTGTGTGTCTATTGGCCAGTGGTTCTATGATTTTGGTGTCTTCGTGGGTCTAAGAAATAAAAGTGAGAAACAGACTTTAAGCAAAATGTCCCAAGCTAAAGAACTGAACAGGTCATTTTGAGGACTGAAAAAGAAAAGATTAGGCTTAGTGCAAACATTGTGCTTTGGACATCATGCAGTAAAAGTGAAATAATGTCATGAGGGAGTTTGAGCTTATTGATAAAGGCCCTAGAATTTATCTAGTTAAAATTGATAAATTTTAACTAGATAAAATCATAATAGTCTCCAAGTTAATGTATACACTACTGATTTCCTACTGAAATGCTGTCAGGTGGGAGGCCAGGTCAAAACTGAGAAAGGAGAAGGAGTGTTCCTCCTGGAAGGCAATGGGAGAGGTGCAGAAACTTGGTAAAGGCTGTGGCCCAGTGGCCACAGATTTCTGTATTGTACAGCTAGAGCATGGTCTCTGAGATCACATCAAAAGGGACTTTCTTTTGGATTGTTTCAGCTGGAATCTTCCTCAAACCCTTTATTCTTCCCCCTCTTCCCACCATGCCCCCAGTGAATTCTTACAGAGGCATATGTCTGCCTCCACAGCATCCTGACCACGTTCCTGTTCTTTTTGCAGCATGTAGTCCTGCCCGAAGACGAGCCAAAGCTACGCAGCACATCCTAACAAAGAGTGTAAGAAAAATCTCCTTTCCTTTCCCTATTTTTTTTTTTATTTTTTTACATTCCAGTTGGTTATGCATACCCTCAAAAGGGCTGTGGGTAAATGGGAAGCAGATCTTCCAGGGTAAAGCAGAGCGTCTGTGTCTGATGCAGGGAGCAGGGTGGGAAACAGGAGGGGGAGTTTCTGTAAAGTTGCAGTTTCTTTACAGAAGTGCTTTGAAACAAAAAAACAAAATATGGTCCTGCCATGCAGAGCCAGTCAAAATGAACATAGTGGCTTATCGACACTGTCCATCTGAGGGAATCACAGACTTATTTATTGTCCATAGAGCCTTCACAATAAGTCCAGAGAGACGTGGAGGAATGGAAAGTCAGCAAATCATACCAAATCATGTCAGTGTTAATCAAGTAATAATAATAATAATCATGTTAATCAAGCAGCCAGTATCCTAGGGAATTTGGGCTAAAAATACCAAGCAATGGACTGTAACTTTGACCCTAAAAGTTGGCACTGAGAAGCCCAGGGAGAATGTTTGTCCCCTGATCCCAGCAATGCTTACCTGTCCTTGCCTCAGCCTTGGTTCAGAGGGCACAGAGGAAGCTTTACCCACTCCCTGTAGACGAGGTACCCCCCAAATGAAAATAACTGAACATTTTTCATGCTCTGAGTAAATGTCTTGCAAGTTCAGGTGCTTTCACACATGGGTGTGAGGTTTCTTGTCTTCAGAGACAGTTTTCCCTCCTTAAATCCACTTGACCCATTCACAACCCCTTCCACAATCCTTTTAGCTGATTTGCAGGAATGAGTCTCCTCTGCACATCAAAACACTTCTTACAAGTTTGAGACTCTTCTGCTGAAGCATTTCTTCTCACCACAGACCTGTCACTTCTCTAGCACTTTGCTGAAGTATTTTGCTCCCTTTTTCAATGCCCCTTCCTACTTCCCAGATCCATCCTCATTTTCAGAGAACCTTTTCTTTGTATTCCTGATTCCCTGATCTCCACACAGAGCTGTAGGTCCTCCTGTTTACCACACTTACCTGTGCACTGGGAAGGAACCTCATCACATTCACTCCCACCCACTCTTTTGGTTATTAAAGCAGATCACAGGATCCCAAAATGTCACAGGACACCTGAAGTGGTCCCCAGGAAGAGCCAGTAACATGTCTGTCATTTTTTGGGTAGAAACTATGCATTTAAATATTTTCCCAAATTGTGACAGTCTCGGTTTGGTTGGTTTTGTCCCATAGCTCAGGCTGAGATTTCAAAATTACTCTTCATTCCAAAGGAAGATGAGTCAGACTGCTGAAGTGTTATTCAAACTTGTTGAATGTTACACAGTGGGATATTTTGAGATACCCCACTTTTATTTGTTAAACCTTTGATATAATTTTTTTTCCATGCAATATAAAAAACAGCAGAAAAGTCCAAACCAAAAGTCAACTATTCTGACTTGATGAAACAAAATGCTCAGATAATTTATCTCCCTTTTTTTTTTTTTTTTTTTTTGACAATATTTCTTATAGAACTATTCAGCTGAAAAATTTCAGCTGGGCTACATCAAAATCAAGGGGAACTCTGTTATCTTGTTCCAAATCTCAGTAGATAGTTGTTTCTACTAAATGGAAGCATCTAATATTTAATTTGGATTGCATCAGCTGCTGTGACACCACTGTACTCATAAAGGCCTAAGAAAATAAGATAAGAAAGTCCCTGTTTTGTTGCTGTATTTTAAGAGGATTGGGGTTTATTTTCCTTTGGGGCTTTCCTGACCCCAATTAAGGATGTCCTTTGATTGGCTCTTAGTCATGATGCAGGCAGCATCATATTAGCAGTGGGAGCACCAAGCCTGAGGAATGGTCTGCAGCTCCAGCTACAAAAACAAGGATGGCTCTCAAACCAAAATGACTGGCACAGTCAGCTCTTAGACATTCCCCTTCTTCAGTGGGATGCAGCTGCTCACAGCTCGTAAGCAAGCATTGAACTAATTGCACATACTGAAATAAACATGCCTGTGAGGAAGCTGTGATTGTCAATTTCTAGACCCACAGAGGAGTCGCAGAATGATTGTTTATTTTTCACTTTTACATCTGCACCTGCAGTCAGAGCTGTAAAAATGCCTCAGCCAACATAAAATCTTCTGCTCTGGTGATTGCAGTGGATGCACAACTTTCATCCTCAGCAAGGACAAAAATAGCAACCAACGTGGACATCTGCCAGACCTTTATTTTCACAGCAGAAATACTCAAGCAGTGTAGCATTAAGTGATTTAACATTCAAATTACTGACTGTGGGGGGTAACTTCCATCACATACAAGAACTCATCCCAAAAGCGTGATAATGACTGTGGAAGGGTGACAGAAAGGAGGAAGCACCTTTTTTTTTTCAGCTGAGCGTTCCACCAATATGTATATTTGCAGTTCCTATTGCCCTGTTATTTCCAGTGATAGTAGATCCTTCCCTTTTCTTCTTCTAGCCCCAAAATCCCCTGGGTAGAACTGTCTGGACACCAGTACCTGTCTACTTTGCAATAAAGTGGAAAATACCCCTGTGCATGCTTGAGCTGCCACATTAAAAATTAGCTCAGCATTAAGACATCAAAATAACTTAACTCTACAGATATGGAATTTTCTCCAATAACAGGCACATTGTTGTTCAGACTCTAACTTTCAGAGTTTTATCCAAAGCCAGATATTTAATTGCCACCTTTTCTGGAAAGCTCTTGGTTGGCAGTAGGATTTTAAGCCCAGGATGGTAGGAACAGCCTCTGTGACCATCCTGTGTCCTCTTAACACAGCTAATTCCATCAGTGGGTATGCCAGGCCTCAGTGCTCTCATGTGCATGGCAAAGTCCATAAAAAGAGAGTTTGCTGAGCTCTGATTTCAGAGTTGGTGTCCTGCAAACAGACTGGGCTGGTCAAAGCATTTACAGGTTCTAAAAACAGTAAGTTTTTAGAGAGCAGTTTGCTAATTCTGCATAGTTTAGCTGACTCTTCCATCTGCACAGATTTAAATTTCCTGGTGTGTCTAGAAAAGAAAAGTGACTCCCAGTTGATCCTTCTGCCTTACCCTAGGTACCCTAGAGAAATGTCAGCTCCACTTTAGATCAAAACCCAGCTACAGCAGGTTTAGTTTCCTGACCTAGATAAGTCTTTACATATTACAGTAACGGGTGAGGTAGCCAAAGTCACTGTGAAATCTTGAATTAGGAGATAAGGAGCTCCCAAAGTGTGCACAATCAAAAGCTGCAAAGATGTTCACTGAAAATATATTATAGAGATTGCACTGTTGTCTCCAGCTGTAATGGAAAATGGCACTGCAACTTATTTATACAGGTTCTGCTGCTTGAAGACATTTTGGCACTACTGACATCATATGTAACAAGGAATCTCAAAAACATATACAATGTGCCTATATAATTGTTGCTATTAATCAAGATAAAAATCCTCTTCTTTTCCCCAAACTGTATTTCATCCTGTGAGACACGTAGGCAGAATGTTAAGTTTCAAGCCCATGGTGGTTTACACTAATCAAATAAGCCACTTTCAGGATTAGAGGAGACTGCAGCCAGCATCCTACTTACCAAAAATGCTCTTTTCATGACAATGCAAAATAAGTGACCTCAGGTGTCTCAGTAGCAGAGAGTTGATGACATTTTCTGTCACACACCAGCAAAGACTGAGTGTGACCAAGGGTACAGGACGTTTTTTCCAGAGATGGCAGGAAAAGCTGAGCTTTGTGTCCTTGCAAGCTGGAAGAGCTCAGTTCACACGAGGCAGGCTCCAAGGGCTGTCATTAGGGACCCCTGCCAGCCACAGTCTGGTCACACTAGTCCTGAAGACAGGTGTGGTCACTGGTGTCACCGTGGTGAAGTGGGTGCTGCCCTGGTGAGCAACTTGTAAGGCACATGTGGACACAGGAGCCTGCAGCCTGCAAGGAGCTGCTGCAGAGGGATGTGGAGGTGCTGGAACTGCTCCAGGGGCAGCAGGGAGGGAGCCAATGCCAACAGCTTAAGTAGCAGCAGGAGGCCTCTCATAACCAGCATCACTCTCCTTCTGAAACATCAGAGCAATGCTGAGGCTCAGCTCCTTTGGCAGCTCCAAATTTGTGATCAGCAGAGCTGGGACCCAGCTGCAGCCTCCTTTAGCATCTGCTTGTCTTCAAGGACACCAGCAGTCCCTTTAAGTGAACATTGGGCATGTCTTTAAGTAGTTTACAGCACATGGAGTGTGTTAGGCTGTGTGTCAAAACCCATAGAAATAGGGGAAAACCCCTACTCAGCCTTGGATTAGGCTTTGGTTGCCTTACCTGCCTTTTCCAGAAGTATTTTTGCCTGTTGTTGGGCAGTTTCCTGCTCCTCATCCTGCTAGTCAGTAGGATTTAGGTAATGTGGCCTTGTCCAGACTCCTGAGGGTACATGGAGACAAAAGAATTAGAAGTGGTTAGGTTGGGATTTTTCTTCTTTCCTGTTTTGGAAAACACGGGTTTGCATGTGTTGTTATGCCTGTGTAAAAAAATCATATACACAGAATATTGTGGATTAACGGCAAACTGAATTAAAACTTAATTAGAGGAAATGGACAATTTGGTGTGAGGGGACATGTTTGAATAGGGTCTTGTTTTTATCTTGAGTGTGTGTTAGAAGGCAGAACAATAGACCGAATTAAGGCTTTTTCTATGCCAATAGCTGGCTGGCCAGTTGTTGAGACAAAATAACTATATTTATATTTAAAACATGTAGACAGCAACTACCAGCCATCAGTTAGATGCAACTAGCTGCTTTTCTCATAATCTTCCAACATAAGTAAGTCTAATAGGAAATAGTCTGAATAGTTGCCACATGTCTTGTTTCCTTGCTGGTTTGGATCTTTACCCTGTTTAAGTGGTTCTCTGTATGACAGCAGCAAGTCTTTAGGGAAGAATGAAAAAACCCCAACAAAGTATGAAACACTCTGTCCCTGCTGTTGGAACTTTGATCTTCATGAGAAAACTCTTTCCAGACCATCCTGGATAACAGTCCTGATGAATTCATTTCTTTGAGGTGTATCCCTGTTTTTCCAAACTCACATTAGCTCTGGCCTTCCCAGTTGCCTGTGGCAGTACAGTGAGTGCCATGGCTTAGTCATAATTGATCAGAAAATAACTTGATTTTGTTCATGCTTGTTTTCAGGGACTGTTGGAGATACCAGGGGGGCTGATGCTCAAAGTTGCAGCTGTCACTGAGTTTGTCCGTGTGAGCTAATGTTTGTAAAAATTAATCTCTAGGAGCACAATTCCTCTCTGCCTCATATTCTCTGTAGTCATTTATGAGGTACAATATGTAATTAAGTACAAAAGACAGGAGAGACTATAAGGAAACAGCATTCGTAATTCGCACTGCATGAGTTTGGCTGATTGCCCAAGACGTGATGCAGTAAGAAAATAAATCTGAGCTGTCTCAGAGGCATATCCTATTCAGAGAGCTTGGAAAGGAGCACATTTCAGTCTCCTGAGTCAGAATACAGAAAGGTGCAACTAAGTAGCTGGGTCCCAGAAAGGCCCAGCAGGATTTTCCCCTACTTCCATACACCGCACAGAAGCTGGAGCCAAACAAAATCCCACAAATCCCACAGTCCTCACCTGACAAAATCCTCTTTGGATGACAGCAAAGCAGTAGGAAGAACAAGCAGCCTTTCAGCTCCCCCGTGACCTCGACAGACCACCTAATCCCCCGGGCCGGGTGTAACGGGGTGGTTTGCCTTTCTCTGTAGGTGGTTGCCATATCAGACCGCCGGCCCCACCAGGGTGACCTCCTGCACGTGCTGTACGAGGCCAGGGGCGAGGAGGAGGCACGAGGAGTGGGCTGCCTGCAGGGCAGCCAGCGCGGAGCCTGCCCCGCCAAGGGCGCTGCCCAGCATGGTAAGTCTGGAATTAAAGCCCCTGATTCCTCCGTGGTAGTGATGCCTTGAGAGGGCTGACCTAGAATGGAGACTAGACAGTTAAAGGATAAAGTAGGTATTTACTGAAAGGCCTTAATGGATCCACCTTGGGCAGTGCAAGAGCCTGGCCAGGGCTACACCCAAGATGGACCCAAAATGGTCACAAAATGGATGACCGGTCGCGAGGTCTCACATTTTTATGAGCTTTGGTCCATTTGCATATTTGGGTTAATTGTCCAATTATAGCCTCAGGTTATGAAGTTACATCCTCCTTGTTTTCCCTTTTCCACTGTTTATACTTTGGGGGCCTGGAGCTTATAATCGTTGTCCTTGATCTCAAGCTGGAAAAGGATTGTTTTGTCTTCCTACCCTGTGAAGAGAACACGCAAATACCTAATATGAAGCTCAGAGTTACACACCAAAACAGCACAGAATCTGGAAAATATGAAAGCTAAAACTTAGGCATCATTCCCCAACATTTTTAGATATTGTAGTCTTCCAGTTTGCAGCAAAGCAGGCACTTTATTATGTTCCTGGAGGATAATTCCATGCTTAAAATATCCAGTGGAATTAATGAGATAATGATCGTGGCGTTGCTCAATTTATTCAGTCATAAACACTCCCTGACAATATTTTAGAGATGATAAATTTTAAGTTACTGAGTTTGCCTGAGTCATCTTCTTATATAAGATCCCTGTTCAATTGCTTAGAATTAGCCAGAAAATAAACACTTGGGACGAATTTTCAGGTTCTGGACAACAGCCACAGACCTGATTTTTTGGCAGCTAAAGCTTGTTCAGCATATTTGCGAGAAACCGTGAAGGAAAAATAGAGCTTGCCAATACAAAACCAAGGAGATGAGTAAACATAAACAGAGTGGCCATTCAGCTCCTCTAGCACTGGTGTGTTATGTTTGGAAGACTGAAGCTGGAGCAGGGTTGTGCAGTTTCACATGGGATGGCCTTTTAATCAAAAGTACATCTTTTGCACTCCTATGAAGAATCACCCAGATGCAGTCAAGTCATATGCCTTTAAAGAAATCCCACATGGCATGTTTATCCAAGAGGAATTGGACATTTGAATGTTCAAAGGTGCAAAATCTCTAGAGCAGGTCCATGAAGGTGTATGTTCCTCACATCACCAATCTGCAACCACACTGCACATAAGCCATCCCATCAAGAACACAAACCAGACAAGAGCAGGGCCTGGGAAACTGGAAAGGAAGAAACTGAGCCTGGGACCATAGGAAAGATCTCAAAAAAATCTCAAGACTAGAGCCAAGATGTGGCTGAAAAAAAGAACTGGAGCTCCAGGACCGGAGCAGGGACAGGAAGAGGAGTGGCTGGGACTGGCTACAGGGTAAAGGATGGCAGAGAGCCAGAGTGTTGCACTCCTTCTCCCCAATGGGACCCCTCTGTCCCACCCCCCGTGGTGAGAGCCTGCTCATCTCAAGGCACAGGTGGCCGAGGGGGTCCTGGAGTGGATACAACACGGACTCAAAGTATCTAGACACAGGAGGCTCAAACTTGCTGGAGTAATCCCGGGTTTATTGTCTGTAGTCCATCCGGGGCAAGAGAGAGAGCGAAATGCTCTGGGTCTCATCTCTTATACCAGGGGGCAGGGGTGATTAGGGGATGCAGGGAGGTCACAGCCAATGGGAAGGGGGAAGGGAAAGAAGGTTTTCAGGTAGGAATTCACATTACACAAACCAGAGGTGAGTTTTACCCTTGGGAGGTACCAAGATTTTTAGATGCACTACAACACCAGAGAAGCAGAAAGGAGGGACTGCTGGTCTCTGCTGTTAGGGGAGATGAGAGGTGAACCATGACAGATAGGTACAAACAAGAGACAAGCTGTAGGAATCTGAAAAGAAGAGCAGAAAAAGGGTGAACAGGTCTCACAGGGGGAGAAAGGGAAATGAGTATTCAGAACTTGGAAATTAAGTTTATATTAGAACAAAAACCAAACAAGCAAACAAAAGAACACAGATGAGGCTGTTAGCATGTTTGTTGCTACCATCACAAATCCTGCAAAAATAGCAAAGCTGAAGGACAGTCCACTCCAGCATGTGAGAAGGCACTACTGGAATTCACACTGCATCCAGCCACCATTGCCCTAAGGGGAGCAACTACAAACCTGAAGCCATGAGGACTTCCTTTTGCTTAGATGTTTTGCTAAAAGTTTGCAAGAGCATTTTCTGTATCGAATAAGAGGGACAGGCTGAAGAGAAGAATCAGACAAAATCAGAGAAAACAAAACCAAATAAAAAGAAAAAATACAGGCATTAGCTGAAGCAGAGATGATCCACTTGCTGAATACTGTTAGTATCCAATATGCAAGATGAGAGGAGGTAATTGCATTAACTTTGACGTGAGGGATACAGTAAGGTACCTAATGGAATTACTGGAGGGGGGTGGAGCGGGAAGCTGGTTAGGATATTTATCGTAGTCAAATATTGCCCCCAGAAGGAGGAGACAGTTCCAACTGCTAAGTCATGCTGGAGACAGCTCTGTAAGCAGCACCCTGGCTATTTCTGTATTCACTGTCATTATTTATATTCCACTGGTCACAGCAGTAGAGAGGTCCACATTCCCACAGCCAAATAGGAGGATTTGGCCTCATGAAAAAGTCTGGCATCCCTCACTCATTTATTTTCTTGGCACAGTGAGCAGGAATGTCAATGAGCATTTATCCATGGATAAGTTATCGGATGAGCAATTACCTGAAACTGAAGAGTAGCTTTCAGTGTTGAGGACAGCAGAGAGAGAGATGTCACTCAGCCAGAGGCAGAAAGGTGGAAATCCCTCCCTGTGACAGGGTAGACACAGCATACATCTCTGCCCAGGTTAAAATAACTCTCCAGAGCAATAGAAAGTAGAGAATGATCTCCTAGGCAGGACAAACCTGCAGTGGGGGCTGAGGAGCAACATTTGGGCTCTTTTCATGTGGAGATATGTAAGTGTTTACAGAGTGGCCAAGGTCTGCTAAGCTTGGTCTGCTAAGGGCAGCTCATCATCTTATTTGAAAAGTCCAGGAGCAAGCTGAGAGACTTTCCAGAGTGACTTAAGCAGTTCCACAATCACTTATTTTGACATCACAATAGATGATCACTCTGCTCTTTTGGCTATAATCAAATCTGGTGGGACTATAACCTGTATTTTGGCTCTGTCCATATCTGGGTTTTACTGCACAGAAGGAAGTTTTTCATACAAGCTGTGCCAATGGGATAATTGCTCCTAATATCATGCTTCTTATGCTTTGCAGCAGGAATTACTGAACAAGAGTCATCCAAGTCCCATAATCATCTGTTGGATGGAAAATCTTTGGTAAGCAAATAGAGCCAGACCAACTACCAATGTGTCTTAAAACCTTGTGCCTGTCAACATGTCCCACAGTAACATCATGTCAGTCTGTTGCAGCACCTGCAGATTTCACAGCCTTTGTTAAAGCTTGAAACATAATTCATGCCATAGGATCCCTTAGCTGGGAGCAGAAACTGGCATAGGACAGAAAACAGCCCCACAGGAGCCAGGAAGAGTGGTGGGACAGAAACAGGCAGGCTCCTGTTCTGGATGCTCAGGCACCTGCAAGAGCTGGAAGAAATTAGCCTCTTGTCTCTCAGGAAATTTCACAAATTGGGAAAAAAAAATAATTTCTTAAGGGGAACAAGCATCAAGTAATTTGTTTTCTGCAGAATGCCAACCTGACACAATAATCTCCGAAGTCAAAAACATCAATAAAGAGTTGATGGGAAAATTATCATACAACCCCCCAAATGCGCTCTCTAATAGACAGAAAAAATATTTTGGTTAAAAATTACTCACCTTTACTAAAATATTCTCCCTCCCTTTGTCTTATGATGCCCCCCTAATTTTCAAAGCCCCTACATTTAATAAAAACTAACTTTTTCTAAGAGAAAAAAAAATAAATTTAATAGTTTCTGGCCAGCACCAGACCATGCTGTTGAAACTTTATGGTTTCAGAGGCTGTTTTGGATGGCTGAAGCATGTTTTCTAGCTGTTAGCTCGGCTACACTTAAGAAAAATGACAGTACAATATTAAGGATGGTTAAAATGTTATTCAGTGTAATGAATCTAATTGAACCTACCAATAATTAACATAGTTAAATTTCAAAGGATGCTTGCAAAAGTGATTTCAAACATCTCTAAGTCCTAGGATACTTGAAAAACACACCTACATGTACCCAGTCTCAGATTAATCCTAGGAGAAATAGAAAGTTTAAGACCAGTTATGCTAGTGTCAATAATATGAACGTTTTTTTCAGGATTGCCAGTAAAATCAATAAGTGTGTTTATTGCCTGAAATAATGAGATCACCTCATACCATTTGACATTTTTTTTCTCTTTCTGGGCAACTCACACTTTAACTTACCATCTTGGAGGATGTGCTATTCTCAGAGACCTGTTTATGGGAAAGCGTGACTCAGTTCTGACAGGCAATTTATGATCAAATAAGACAAGGAGGAAGTGGATGATCAGGCACTTGTGGAGCCATGGCAGAACTGGAGCATAACCAGGGTGCCCCCACACCACAGAGCAGCATAAAACAAAACAGGGAAACATCTCTGAATGCTCAAGGAGCTGTGCTGGCTGAGACAGCTGCTTCCCAGGCAGCTGCAGAGGTGGTGAGCTGCAAGAGGCAGGCTGCTCACTCTGCACAAAACCTCACTGCCTCAGGAAACTAAATGCAAAAACCAGGGAATAAAAAGTTCTGCAAGTGTCCCTTCTTTGATGAAAGGTGTAACTCTTGCTCCTACAAGCCCTGTGCTGAGCTCAGTGAGAATATTCACGTGAGCAGCTGGTAATTGTGTGGGTGAGAGTTGGGCAGTCAAATCCTTAACCTGCTTTCTCTTGTTAAGAGATTTGCAGCATTTATTTGTTTTCTTAAAACAGCCTCTTTCCTCAGATGAACCGGTGTCCCCACTCATCAGTGGCATTTCCTAATGATGTGCTTTATCCTCCCACAGATTCCTCCATCTCCAGTTGCCCATATCACAGTGAAAGCTGTGGCTGTCACGGGCTCGCCCACACACAACCGCACTTCTACGGAAGAGTAAGTCCCTTCCCAGCCTCCAGCCGTGCCTCTTGTTTCCCAAAGGCAGGAAGAGATTGGTAAAGGTTATGCTGAATTTATTATCAGCCATGGCCATTTATACAGCTACCCCAGTGCCCATTACAGCTCTACTTTATCACTAGAAAAAAATCATCATAATTTAAAATAAAAGTATTTTCCCCTAAGAAGTCTGTAATATTTGCCCTGAAGTGTAATTAGAAAAGCTAATTAATTGAAGAAAAAAAAATGTATGTATTAAAGTCTAATTAAGGAACAGTCTGAGTGCAGTACAAATGCACTCATCACCAGGCAGTTAACCCAGACACAGATCTGGGTGGGATTTGAGGTGCCACCATTGTCACCTGAGGGTAACTCATTGTCACAGTGTCCTCCACACTCCATACACAGAGAGGTAAGTTCCCCTCAGCCAGTGGAGCTCACTGCTGCTTGGTCCCTGGGGCTTTGGTGGGAGGGCCCAGCTCTCTCCTTGGGCAATCCCCCCGCTCCTTGCTGGGTGGCAATGGCTTGAGAGGATGCACTTAGAGTGGTCCCACCTGCAGCCCAACCCTTTGTGTGAGTGTCCCCTCTGACAGGGAGGGATCAAGAGCACCAAGCTGAGTGGTGGCAGCTGCAGCATCCCAGCCCCTGACCCACAGAGCCCTTGCTCATTCCAGACTTGCTGATCCCAGGGCTGGGCCAGGCATGGGCACACCTTTTCAGCCAGGCAGCTCTTGATTCTGAGTAAGGAAGCAGGGAAGGAGGGCCAGGGAGAAGCATTCTGTACACACCTCCTGTTTTATTTTTTAGCCACAGGCAGCGCTGGAGGAAGACAACAGAGTATGACCTGGCCCTGCCACCAGCAGCAGAAGCTTCCCTACCACTGACAGGAGGCAACCTGTGTGGGACACCCAGCCTCCTGAGGAAGATGTGGATGAAGCACAAGAAGAAGTCAGAGTACCTAGGGGCAACAAACAGTGCCTTTGAGGCGGACTGATAAGGCTCAGCATCCCTTGGAAAGGCAGAAGGTCCTTTAGCAAGACAAGGTGCTTTAGGATCAATGAGGGAACAGACACAGCACAGCTCATCCAGGAAAATTCTATCTTTTTTATTACTTGATGCCATTTCCTCAGAACAGTGGGAGAAAGGCTAACAAAGGTAAAAACAGTGAATATGATGCAATTCCATGGCATTTCCTTGTTGCATTACACTAAAATCCCAACTATCCCACTAGATTTGCATCTTGACTCAATGCTGAGACTACTGCTGACCCATTCACCATTTTCTATGTCCTGTTTGAATGAGCTCGGACTTGCAACAAGAGAAGCCTATGAAGAGGTTTGTGTATTCCTGCAAGGCAACAGATTGATTACAGAGTGCCATTAAATCCCAGGGACTTACTTGTTGTGCACCACTGCTTGTCATCTTTCCCCGCTCATATCATGAGATAAAAATCTCATCTTGCGATATGCTTGGCTGAATGACACATGCAAAACAACTCTTTTCCTTCAGTTTTGGTGAAAAGGGAGGAGTAAAAGAAGCAAAAATTCTAAAACAGTGGGCCAGAACTGAGCAAGTTTGCAAACATATGTACCAAACGTTGCTATGTGAAAAGTGATGTGTGTTTTAAGGTGTCCTGCCAGATCAAACTACGAGCAACAGGGTAACCTGGAGGGATACTTTCTGCCATAGAACCTGCTTATAAGTGAAATGGTAGTCAGCAATTTACCCTCTACCCATATGGTAGAGGATATTACATTAAGTGCACAAAATACTAGGAGGAAGGGAAGTATGTAAATGGTGCAACTGGGTGACTAAGTATGAGATATTTGCATGTAAGAGACCTGTGCTTATGAACAGATGGATTTAATGGAATTTGCTTTAAAATTTTTTTCTTTTTTTTTCTTTTTTCTTATTTTTTTTTTTCAATTTAGAAATTGCTGGTCAGGTTCCCTTTGGTTTTTCTCTCAAAAAAGAACAAATAAGTTTTATAAAAAAAGTTTTCACCACTGTTATAGACCATATTATATTAGTCATGAGCAGTACTTGCCTTCTGTGAGTGCTCTCCTAGTTACTATAAAAAAACACTGGTTTCCCTAAATACAGAACTTTAAATATAAAGTTGTAGGAGGCATATCTCCTGTTGTTTATAGTAATGATGACCTCTAATCTAACCGCCAGTGCACCAAAGCGTAAATTAAAAATAAAGGTCTGACTCTGACAGCAGCAGAGGGAAGGAGCTCCCATCTGAAACTTGCTTGCCTGCAGCCAGTGCAGTGAAATGCACTGAGATGCCATCACAGACAGTGCCATGGTAGTGAGGGGCAGCTGGCCCTGGTCAGGGGTCACCAGCTTAGGAGTACCAAGGGATCACCTGGATGGGAGGGAAAGACAGCCAGGACTTCTGGCTTTGAGTGGAGCAGGGTGGAGCAGCACACAGGAGAGGTTTTGCAGCTTCACAGCCTGAGCAACCAAAGTTCATGGGATGGGAAAACAAATGGAGCAGGCCAGTAGCTTTACAGAGCCTATGGTCCTGATGGCTGCAAGAAGGGCAACAGGGAAAACCTATTTGGGGCTGGACATGGTGGAAATGGTAGTAGGGAGAGGATGGAAGTTCTTACTTTAAAAGGTACTGTGGCTTTTTGTGCTGCTAGAGACAAGTCAGTCCAGAGTCTGCCAAGGAGAGAGAGGCACTACAACTTCATGAAAGATCTCTGTCAGCCCTCCTGTTCAGCTGTTCTTCATTGCTTCAGTCACAGGCTCCTCCTTCAGAGGTGCTCAGCTGGTCAGAGGACAACTTTGCACCTCAAAACCACACAGACTCTCCCTCCTCATTACCAAAGGTAAAAGTCCTTCTCTGGCCCAGCAGCCTGAGACAGGGATGATCTGCTCTCCAGTTTTTGTTTCTTGCTTCTGGGGAAGAAGGAGAATACAGTTCCTTATGAACAATGTGCTGGCACTGGTGACCCAGTATCGACCATGTGTTCTCTGCCCTGGCATGAGAGCAATGCTAACACCCAGTGAAGGCTGCACACCTGAACAGTTCCCTGTGAGAGGCTTCTTACAGGGGTCCAGCCCACCTTTAAAGTAGAGCCTGGCACACTGATCCTGCGCAATAGTCTGAGCACCCTCACCCTGCCAACATCAGGTCCTCTATGACTGAACCAAGCTGGAGTCAAGAGTTTCCTGAAACACTTTCTACAAATATCACTAACCACACTTCAGCCCCCTCCTCAGCCTATAGAACTCCTGCTAGAAACCCATGCATGTATTTTTACACATGTAGGTAAACCTAGTGAATTCAGTGGGACTGCTCCCTTGCATAGCAATACATACATTCAAAGAGCAAGGAGAAGAACAACCACTGCTTCTCTTCTTTGGTCTCATTTCCTAAACAAAGGAAAAATAATTATGAGGGACAGACACTGGGAAAAGTCCATTTACTGAATTAGGTGTAATTAAGAGTGTGAAAATTTGTGGTACCTGCCCTTGTAGTTAATATGGCCCAAGTACTGAAACACAGTCCAGGGCAACAAGAGTTTCGCTTGTTGAGGAAGTTGCATTGTAGTAGTAGTAGTATTTAATTTGTTAATTAATAGCTTTGAGCAGTATGAGGATGGAGGCAGAGATGATTAATATTTCTTCTTAATAATTGCTGTATCTTGACATATGTATTTATGCTTTTCTTATTTATTTATTTATAATTTGGATCTACAAGAGAAGGAACTATTTACAAGAAGCATATTTAATTCCCTTGTATTCCAGGAACTTCTGTGGACATTTTTGTATTGTAGTAGATATTTATTTTATTGATCTAAAAGTATGTTCTATTCTTAAAAAAAAAAAAACAAACAACAGAATAAACAAGTAGCATGTGGTTACATACGGGTCTCAGAGACTCAAGAGTTTTTGGGAAGCATTTAGCAGTGAGTAAAGGAGGATGTATGGTACTGAAAAAAGGTGAACCCCTGCTAGCAATGAACATGGACTTTATTCTCCACAGCCTGAAAGTATTTGTGAGCAGCTCCAGTATTGCACAGGTGATAGAACCGTTTTGATATCAGATGTGCAGAGAAAAACCCTGATACTGTCAGCGGTCAGAAATCAGATACACCTATACACACCTGACCTCAAGCACATCCCAGACACAACATTTGCATCATCTCTCTCCCATCAAACAAGTCCCAAGACAGAGACTCCTGAATGGGATTTAAGGCTCTGGTAGAGAACAAAGCCAACTGAGTTGTCAGCAAAGTTACTGAACTTACCTTGAGCACAATCCTGACTTTGGAGAGCCTCTGCTGAACCACAGCCCAGCCTGAGGTGGATGGCACAGGACCGAAGGAACCCAGCCTAGGGAAGGTGACTCAGGACTGCAAGTGGAAAGAATTCAGGATACAAGGAAAAAAGGCATATGGTGTGGGCATGGTTCACTAACCCAGACTTCATAGCTCTCCACTAGAGGATGACTTACTCCCTGCCTGCCACACTGCCCATAGTCACATAGCTCTGGTGAAAAGTTGGCACATTTCTGGCTCTTCCATTACAGACACCATCTACGTTTAGTATGAGCAGCCAGGGAGTGTCCTCTTGGTGAGTGTCCACACCACAGGAGCTGGCACAGGTTTTTTCCAGGACCTCTGCTGGGAACTCATCTGTCAGTACCTGAACTTTAGCTGTGCATTAAAAATACCAGCATGAGTATGGAAGAGGATGTGGATGTGCACTGTGTTTTCCAGATGAAGTTGTACGGAAAGCTGCATTAGGTTGACTTAAGCACACCCTCAGAAAAATGTGAAATAGTGATTATAAAAATAAGTGAACTTTACCATTTTTCCACCAAAGACAGAAGTTGTTAACCGTGCATTCAAAAGTATTGACTCTGGCACTACCAGACACAAGCCTGTTGTCATAATTTATAACATCTCTGAGAAGATGCATTTCTCAGATATGTTTCATGTCAATTTATAATTTGGTGTTCCCCAGAACTAGAGACTGACTAGGGCACTGACAGAAGGAGAGTGCATGATGACAGTCCATCCCACTTACAGTAATTTATAATTAATTTCCCCCAAAAAGAGTTTTCCGATTTCTGCTCACCATTTCAAAACCATCTTTGTGACAGAGCTACTCACTAAAATATGCATAGTTATTTTGCATACCACTTTATTTAAATAAACTGTCGTGAATTTAGGCTAGGCTAATATATAAAATAATTCCTACTGATGCATGAAAAAAAACACCTCAGATATGCCTTGCCTATCTTTCTTCCCCTTTTGCTCTCACTTTACAGGTCCTGTAGCAAACAGGGTTGCCAGAAGAGTTAATCACAGACACATCACTATTTGAGGGAATATCACACACTTTATACAGAAAATATTTAAACTCAAACATTGACATCAGCAGAATAATTTTACTTCTGTAAATTACGCAGCCAGAAAAGTTGCAGTGTCAGAAATGGCACACACTAAAATTGAAACAAGCCGGATTTCTCAGATGAGACCCCTGATAAGAAATTCTACAAACAATACAGATGTCAAATAGACACAATTATCTATGCAAAATTTTTAGAATCTCAGCATTAACTCTAGAGAGGATTCACAAGTGAGCAGCTAAACCCTAAACCTTCAAGGTGTGTAATGATATTACTCTGGGTAGTCCTAATCTCCCTCTTATGATTACCTCCTGTGAGTATATCATCAATGTACTGGTAAACTTTCACTCCCTATTCCACTGGTATCTTTTTCAATTATTTTGCCAACACACGGTGAGCTAAGGTGGGTAAATGCTTGTACCCCTGAGGAAGCCCTGTAAAGGTATATGGTTGCCCCCATACACAAAGGCAAACTGATGCTGATCCCTGCAATGGCACCATACTAAACATGTTTTTAATATCAGTAGTGGTCATGACCCTGCATGCCTGCTCCTGGATGGTGGCTGTGAGCTCAGTGATGTTTGGTACAGCTGCTGTTGAGGGGTCTGTGTCAGCACTGAGGC